CCCCCACCCCCCCCCCCCAGTTTAAAAAAATTTAAAAGGTTTTTTAAAGTTTTTAAATTGTTAACATTTTTTTAAAAAGGAAAAAAATATATATATGTTTAATAAAAAATGATGAGAATATAGTGCCAAGGAGGCTATTAAAGATAGGAGACAAGCATACCACATTCTAAAATTGTATTTCACTCCTTATTTTGTGACCTAACCCCAAAATAAACTAAAATTCCAGACATTTGATATCTCCTAAAAAAACGGACAAATAAAAGAATTAGGAGTTCCTTTCTGTTAGCTACACTAATTCTGTACACATTATTATTGCCAAAACTGTGAAAAACATGTTTTTTTTTTAACCATTTTGTATATAAAAAAAAGAATTTATATAAGCCAAATATGTGTCACAAGACTGGATGGACATGTGTCTTTATTCAACCTCAAATACTATGTAAGTTAAAGCCAATTTTGTCTTAACACATATATAATATGTGTAGGTGCAATGAATGAAGAAGATGAAAATGATGGTAAAACACATAGCAAAAATGCCAAAATTGCTCCGGTCCCCAGGAATGACATTTTTTTCTAAAGCTGTGTCACTAAGGGGTTAATTAACAAAATGAAAGAAGGCTATATAGTACACAACTTACCCGTGTGAAATCTATATTTAGCCCCGGGACTGAGGAAAGCCCTCCACCCATGAAGGCAGCCTGGGACAAGACAACTCCAAACGTGGGCAAGCAGCCAAACTCATCACTGCTTTCAAACAGGAACTTCAGGTGATCTGGGTCTTTGGTGGACATGCCCACTCCCAAAGCATACAGGATAGGCTGAATATGAGTGTAGCTGTACACTGTTGGAGGCAACTTCTGTCCTATAGCCAGGGCCTGTTATTTAGAAAAGAAAAAAAACACAAAATCAAAATGCATGTTACCAATAAATAATAAACACATCAACAAGTGGGGCAGCACAGTGGCGTATTAGTTAGCGCTTCTGCCTTGCAGCACTGGGAGTCCCTGGTTCGTATCCCGGCCAGGTCACTATCTGCAAGGAGTTTGCATGTTCTCCCTGTGTTTGCGTGGGTTTCTCCGGAGTGGGAGGACTCCGGTTTCCTAGGTACTCCGGTTTGCTCCCACACTCCAAAGACATGCTGGTAGGTTAATTTGCTCTCCTCTAAGTTGGCCCTCTAGGTATGCATGTGAGATAGGGACCTTAGATTGTAAGCTCCTTGAGGGCAGGGACTGATGTGAATGTGCAACTATGTAAAGTGCTGTGTAAATTGTCAGCGCTATATAAATACCTGTAATAAATAAATCTAGATTTAGCAGGCTTTTAAAAATGTTGGTGGCCTATATTCCTCCAATGGCTTCAAGTCTTTCTAGGTCACTTCTGCATGAGGGTGCCTAAGAGTACTGTAGCCGCTAGTCAAAAAAGACAACCAGGCAAGTAGCATTCTAAGATGTGGTTTGCAATGTCAGACTACATCTTTCTTACTAAAACAATCAAAAACCTTTTCTTTTTTTTTTTATTGCTTCACAATAAACTTTTACATCTTTTGGAATTTTGATTACAAGATTTTCCTATCGCATATGTTATCCTGATTTTTAAAATCCTTAATATAATAATTTTCATCTGAGCGGACTTTTAAAAAACAAAAAAACAGTACTGTCCAGCTTGTGGTCCCCTGGAATAATCAGCACACCCATCCACACCCACTGGGCAAACCCCCTGTTTTTTGGCAGTGCGCAAGGCCAAAATCTCTTTAAAGAACTCTGAGCAAACAAAATCTTAACCCTTGCAGATGGGCTACCCCTGTACTACATGGGTTGCATGCTCGTTTTGTCTAGGGAGCTAAAATAACATAGTTATACTTGGCCAAACCATGATCCCAGCTGGCAGTTAGACTGGTCCCTTCAGCCTCTCTCCCCCTCCACTACAGTGTATAGGATGTGAGGACACCAGGGGACATTCCATCGCTGGAGTGGAGGAGGAGACAGGCAGAAGGGACTGCTGTAGGAGCCAGCTGGGATTGTGGTTCGGGTGAGTATCACTCTGCTATTTTAGCTCCCTAGACAAATTGCGCTACCCCCACACTGCAAGAGTCGAGTTTATTTGCCTGGAGTTCTTCTTTAAAATCAATTCACACCAAAGCCAATAACAGGATCCTTCTAGGTTGGCAAATAAGTATGAGCAAAATAGTAAACTTCATTCCCAACGTATTCTCTAAGTGTGCTTAGTTACGAGGAGGATAACACTATGTACCGCATATGGTGGTCATGCAAAATAACATTTCATATACCGTACATATATTGCTTAATTTATTCAGCCACAACTCACACAAGGGCTTAGAAGCCCAATTCTCACATGAGAGTTGCTCTCATAAAACAAATAAAGACCCTTTGATATCTGTACTGTCAAGCAGTCTGGCTTGCTGGCTGCAGTATTGTGTTTTTCAGCTGCGGATTGATGATTCTGGCCACATGCAATCAGCTCTGGAATTGTTCTATGGCTCAGGTGGCGAAGTAGCTCCGTACGACGTACGTCCTTGGCAGCGAAAGGTTTAAACATTATCAACCTGTGCCCCAATGCTCACAATAGCATTTTCTGGCTGATCAAGTGCATTCCTGTTACTGATTCTGGACTGCCCTTAGCTACGGTTATTAGACTACTCTCTTGTTTGCCCCCTGTCTCGACATTCAGCTACGTTTTCTGGATTGCTTTCTTGTATGCTGCATGTCTTGACCTTTGGCTATGTTTTCTGGCTTATAGCCTTGTTTGCTGCCTGTCCTGATACTCGGCTACATTTCCCAGATTATTCTTTCAGCTCTCAACACCTACCACTGCCCTACACTATGTTTTCCTGTGGGCCTGTAGTGACCCAAGTCCTAAGGGCATCTAAAGGTGAAACACAAAGTCACTATATGCTTGTACCACTGTGTTTTCTTAGATAGCCTTACATATACATGCAGTAATGCAGGTTTATGATATAGGAGAAAAAGGAAAAAAAAAAAAAGTTATTTAAAGGAGAATTATGAGGCGAGTGATTTTCAATCAGCCTCATAATCTGAGCCGATGTGTGACAATTAAACTGTCAGTCGGCTCAGTAGATCGGGAAGTAAGCGAACACATACCACTGGGTGGATCTTGACAGTATTGTCGGGATCCGTCGCGACTGCAGCAACTCAGTATACCGTGAGCTGTAGCTCGCGGTATACTAAGCTTTGGGTCACGGGAGGACACTAGTTTGTGTTCTCCCGTGACCCTTAGGAGAACTATGGGGAAAAGCCCTGACCCCACAGTTCTCCTTTAAATAATTGTAATTGGAAATGCTAAAGGTGCCCCACTGAATTATTTTAAGCATGAATCCTAAAGCAGAGGTACCTTAAAAGAAGATAAACCAGCACCTGAACTGGATAGTGGGTACATATACACTCACCGGCCACTTTATTAGGTACACCTTGCTAGTACTTGGTTGGACTTACTTTTGCCTTCAGAACTGCCTTAATTATTCATGGCAAAGACTCAAAAAGGTGTTGGAAACATTCCTCAGAGATTTTGGTATTGACATGATAGTATCAGGTGCCCAAAGTGTGCCAAGAAAATATCCCCCACACATTACACCACCAGCCTGAACCGTTTATACAAGGCAGGGTGGGTCCATGCTTTCCTATTGTTTATGCCAAATTCTGATCCTACCATCTGAATGTCACAGCTGAAATTGAGACTTATCAGACCAGGCAACGTTTTTCCAATCTTCTATTGTCCAATTTTGTGAGCCTGTGCTAATTGTAGCCTCTGTTTCCTGTTCTTAGCCGACAGGAGTGGCACCCGGTGTGGTCTTCTGCTGTTGTAGCCCATCTGCTTCAGGGTTCAACATGTTGCGAGTTCAGAGATGGTATTCTGCATACCTTGGTTGTAACGAGTGGTTATTTGAGTTACTGTTACCTTTCTATCATCTCGATCCAGTCTGCCTATTCTCCTCTGACATCAACAGGGAATATTCGTTTACACAACTGCTGCTCACTGGATATTTTCTCTTTTTCGGACCATTCTCTGTAAACCCGAGAGATGGTTGCGTATGAAAATCCCAGTAGATCAGCAGTTTTTGAAATACTCAGACAAGCCCGTCTTGCACCAACAACCATGCCATGTTCAAAGTCACTTAAATCCCCTTTCTTCCCCATGCTGATGCTCGGTTTGAACTTCAGCAAGTTGTCTTCACCCAGTCTAGATGCCTATATGCATTGAGTTGCTGCCATGTGATTGGCTGATGTGTTGCCACACAATTGAACAGGTGTCCCTAATAAAGAGGCCGGTGAATGTAGGTGTCTGCAAAATCCTAACCTGCAGCATTTTTCTATAGGAATTCTGAACACTGGTTGGATGACTTCTCCCTTACTAACTTGGTTTCATCTACTGGCCATTATATGGTATATGCAGCCAACCTGGCTAATGGAGAGGTATAGGTGTGGGACTGGACATGCCATACAGATTTGGGACATCCATGTTACATTTCAAATAAAATGGACAATGCATGTAGACAACTGTAATTGCCTGCTATACGGTCCAGAGGTCATTGTATCTTTTTTTTTTTTTAAAGATATCAAATACTACTGAAAGTGTTACATATTACAGCAGGCGCTCTAATGCATGCCTCATTTCAGCTTCCAGCTGCAGTGTAGGAAAGTGATACACAGAATGATTCCAAGAAATGACACCAACTGAATTGACAAAATGATTTCATAACTTTTGAAGGAATACATATATTAACAAAAGGGTGTTACCCTTGTAGTAGTTCTTTAATTCCCAACTATTGTCCATTTTTTATTCAAGATACTAACAAAATCTGTTTACTTGCCAATGGCTTTGAACACACATGCAAACATTTATTTATGCACAGAATGCATACATTATATTGAATATGTAAAAACAAAAGCTTTGAAGCCCCCAAAATTCCCATGCGGCATGCACAAGGTATTGTTGTGCACAGCATCTGTCATAGTAATGTTCTGATAAAGCACAGCTGAAGACTAGAACAGCAGTCTATACTGGCAGCAGTGAGATCAATAATTAAGCAAATATTCTTCCAGGATACACATACTGGGAGAGGAAATTGCTTGAAGGTTGTGAGTCACCTTTATTTAGAGAAAAGGATGTCTGTATGAGCGCCTTGCATATTATGCTTCTAAACCTTCAGGGGCAGAATGGACCTTTATCAAGAAGCCATTCTATAACTGAACAGGAAAAAGAAAAAATGAAAAATAATTAAGATTCTGTTTCTAAGGCTGAACCTGTGGAGCCAGCCCTGCAAGGCTCACATTGAAAAATACTTTCAATAGAACATGTTGTGAGAAGCAAGGTATCAGTCTTACCTTTTCTAGGGGGACACACTTTAAAAGACTGTTTAAAGGGAAACTGTAGTATTTTTTTCAGTATGCTCAAATAATGAGTTACTACTATTAACTTTTTTTACAAGCAAAAACTTGTCAGTGCTTTAGAGCAGTGGTTCTCAAACTAGTGTAACCTCAGGACCCACATTTGTCCCTGGCCATTAAGTCATGACCCAAGTCGCATCACAATGGAACGCACGGCATTGCGGTACCGTGCGCTCCGGTGCAGGCGATTGAACTGTGGGTGGGAGGCGCGTTTGGGGTGCTATTTAAATAAATGTCAATGCAACACAACCCACCTCCCACCCCAGAATTCGCGGTAGGTGTGATTTAGCATGGTACAGTGCGTTAATCGCACGGAACTGTGGGATTAACGCACTGTACTAGTGTGAACGGGCCCTCAAAAACACTAGACGACGCACAACCACAGACACAATCTTACATACACACCACAAAATGTTTTTAATTTTTTCTCTTTAAGATCTACCCAGTCTCCCTATCTTACGAGAACTGGAGTGGATCCTCAGCCTGGGGTCCAGTGTGGGCTGCTGTGCTGTGAATCTATCCATATGTGCATTGCTGGTACAGCTCTCTTGTGCGCCCTGTAGAGGTGCCGGGAACCAGAATGTGATGTCACCCCCGGCCAGGCACTTCCACAGGACTTGTGAGGGAGATGTAAGCAATGCACGTATGAACAGAGCTCCCTCGCAGCCATAGCCTCAATCCACCCCACCTCCAATTGACACTCGGCGCCGGGCAGCATATTTTGAATGGATGCTTGGCGTGTGAACTGACAGTGCTACGCCAGGGGGAGGCTGAGGAACCTCTCACCTAGAAAAGTTGAAGGTATGCAGTGACTCAATGAACACATGGTCACAGCCTACTTTTAGGTCACAACCCACCAGTTAAGAACCAAGGCTTTAGAGGAAGAGTCTCTAATTTAATTTTGGTACATATCACCATAAGTGGACTAGCTATCCAATTTGTGTCGCCTCTTAGCCTTACCCCATAAATGTATGTGTTCCGTATCTTGCATACCTAAAAAGTTAATAACTTCATGCAACAGGGAATAAAACACTCTATACAATTAGGCATATTTTTGAACTATACACCAGGGGGAGGATTTTAAATCATCTGCCCAGCTACATGCCACTAGATGGAGTTGGGGAGCACACGAAGTGCAAACAGCATGCGCCCAGCGTATGGCTGGTTGGATGATTTATAAATCATCCCCTAGCAGACCAAAATGTACAGTGAGCCACAGAGCCCTGAAAGGAATGATCATTACAACTCCACCATCCATCAGAAATGTGAAAGAAACCCCTCGTTAATTGTAATGTGTGCTGGAAGCGGGGATATATAAATACCTTCTGTATTATGAAGCAATACTATACTTTCCATTGATTTAGAGGAAGGGGTTGCTTCTGGCATGTTTCTTCAGGACCATTAAGACAGTTGCACAAGGTCACTCCTATGGATTTGCTCCCTTGCTGATCCAGAACTCGGCCAAATCTCCTTCACTAGCAAGGGGACAGTAAAGGAGCGACAACTTGCATGACCAGCGAGGGAGAGACTCCATAGAAACAGGTATACAGCCTGTTATCGATCCTGTTGCTTGTAAGTTGACACCAGTGACAGAATACCTCATGTGACATGGTCCGAATGGGTGGTAGGCTATCCTCTGACCAGGTCTAAATCACGTGCTGCGCATCAGAGCAGTAACAATCAGCACAGAATGAAAATGCTTTCCTGAGTCTCACTTGTTTCCTAACGTAGACCTACATAGTTGACTGAAGCATAATTCCATTAAAAAAAAATCAAGATATCCCAACCAATATGTTAATATATCTATCTCTCTGTCTCCATCTATCTATATCTATATATCTATATTAGAGGTGCACCGAAATGGAAATTTCAAAACCGAAATAAAAAAAATTGTCATGCTGAAACCGAAAATGTTTTTTTATTTGAATTCTTTCAAATTTTTAAAATATTTTATTTTTATTTATTTTTTATAAACTTTTACATTTTTTTATATTTCTTTTTATTTATTAATTCATTTTTTGTTAAATATTTTAATTTTTTACTTAATTTTAGGGGCTAATATTTCCCTTTTAAAATAGAAAAAGAGATTGAGGACACAAAGTCCTCAATCTCTTTTTCTGTATCCCCTGTTATAAATGAACAGAAATCCTCTATGAGTGTTCCTGTTCATTCATAACTTGAGAACATTGTGTGAGAACAGGAGGTGATGTAGCTCACTCCCATTCATTCATAATTGAGGCTATAGTAAACATACCATGTCCTCAATTAACTACAAACACTCAGTGATCACTGATCGCTGGGTGTTTGTACTCGCTCTCCATCCTGTCAGCTGTCACAGGAGGCTGAGCGAGCGGTGCAGGGAGAAGAGCTCAGCCTCCTGTGACAGCGCGGGATGTCTCCGCCCCCACACCGCTCTGCCGGACTGTGATAGGAGGCTGAGCGTTGTGGGAGGAGAGACGCTGGCCGCTCACAGCGCTCTCCCGGCTGTCACACTTTCTCTCCTCCCCGCTGCCCAGCGGGGAGGAAAGAAAGCAGGGATGCGCCAATGTATCGGCATTTAGCCAAAAGTGCAATTTTCGCCCGATATGTTTCAGCGGCCGATATATCGGTGCACCCCTAATCTATAAATAGATATATTGACATATTGGTTTATATATTGATATATCCAGTTTATCAAGCTTTATGAATGCTTGTGGATTAAGTACAGGGGAAAAAAACTTTTAATCAGAGAATATGAGCATAATAAGAAGCAGGATTGCAATAAAAGTCAGTAAAGGTTCAAATCCACTGGAGACCTCAGAGCTCTCTAGCAGAAAAATGAATAGGCAGCACACTGAATGTTTAGTACTGGAAGAATTTAAATATACTTACTGGGTCAATACCAGAAGATGAGGAGGGTTTCTGACTTGTGGGATTCATAGAAATTCCTTTGCCTGAGTCAATGTTTGACAAAACTTCATAGAGTGTGCCGGTGGACTCTAACATAAGAATAAAAATACATATAATAAATACATTATACAACAAATAATCATAGCAATAGATTCTGACTGGGATCTTGATACTGGTATTTTCAGCACACCTCATTTTTGGTGCACAGATTTCATTAGAGAGGGGAATGTGAACAAGGGTTTAAGTTTGCTTAAGGAATGAATGGTGTTAGGGTTGGGCTACAAGGAGAGATTTGTGTCAGACATCAGTCTCTGTACTGAGAGCTCTGTAAAAATTATTAGTCCAAATCTTACAATGCCAAAAGCCAATTTACCACTTATATATATATTATAGATAGACCATTCTGATATATATGGTACATATGCATTAATACTAGGGAACTAGGGATCCACCGATAATACGATTACAAATAATCATTCACAAGCTGTTCCAGTTTCAACTCATTTATGAATAAATTACACAGTATAACATAACACACTGTGCCACAAACATTCACAGTATATTCAAAAGCTGCAAACCTATGGATTCAGTGAAAAGCAATAAGATCCAGAAACATCTGTTTCTGAGCAATAGCCATTTTAACAGGCCCTATGTAGTCTAAAATAATCTACTAGTGTAGATGGTGGAGTAGATTTATACCAAGACTGACTATTAAAGTAGCAGAATAAAGCAAAACAAATGGACTTTTAATCCTAATTATTCCCTACTATGTCCTTGAAAAGACAACACAAATATTGGTTAGAGATACAGTTTAACATAGCGCAGACTACAAGATCAGCCAATGGTACGGTGGTCTTTGGAGCAGGAAAGAGATGGATGCCCTGTGTGGGTAGGCAGGCAGATCGTACTTGCGATCATCGCAAGCCCGCCCCCCTGAGGGGCAGGCTTCCGATGACTGCAATGCTGAACAGGCAGTGTGCGCGTGCGCACACCGGCCCGTTCGGCAGTTATCTCTCGATCATGCTAAAAACCAGCCGAAAATCGTACGATTCTCAGCTGGTGTTCCACCATGCTCGAAATACAAAAGTCATGCGACCGTACAGTTGAAACGGTCGCACGCCTTCCATACACTGCACGATTATCATACGATCGTGGGATTTCCCGCGATTCTCGTATGATAATCGTGCAGTGTATGGGCACCTTTACAATGCACCAATACAGTTGCCTGAGATTGTAGGATTGAATATTACACTTTGTAACATTAAAAATAAAAAAATAAATCTAAATATGTTACATAAAAGAGATGGAGTGCAAGCAGAGGCCATCTCACAATGCTGCAAAGCTGACAATATACATTAATTAGCAGTCAGATGCTTAGTGCTAAACGATTGTTAAATTTACATGCATACTAGTATGCTCTCATACACTTATGTTTATGGAGGAGCGAAGGAAAGATACCACAAGTACCGGCCTTTTCTAGATGGTCATTAGGAGATTTCTGCTGTTACCAATAAACAGTATGATGGTTTCCAAAATGGACCAAAAGCATCAGGATCAAAACAACTATTATATACGAGGGCGAGTCAAAAATGATCCGCACTCCGGTTATATTAAAACTTCTGTTGGCCACACTGTCTTATCAGAGCTTTCCATTCAAGGCTACTGTCTCCCCTGTCACAGCTGTGCAGGTGTGAATGTGTGAATGTGTTACGTCAAGGCATTTGTAACTGCAGTGCGAGAAAAATAGATGTGATTTGCACCAAAACAGAGCAGCGTGCAGGGATTAATTTTTTGTGGTCTGAGGGTGTGCCTGGTGCCGTTATTTATTGAAGACTTTGTGCGCAGTATGGAAAAAGTGTTTTGTCATGAAGAAGTGTGTATGAATTGACTTCTTCTGGAAATGCTACATGCCTGACTGCCATTGAATATAAAAAAAAGATATTCCAGAGGCACTACCCCACCAGTATTAACCCTCATTACCGCAGGCAATTCCAAGATCGTTAACTTATTGAACCAATACAGAAATAAATGACTGTACCTACAAATGGATCAGTCTGCAGAAGTTACAAAGGGATCTGAACTGTGACTTACTATGAAAATATTTATTAATGCAAAAAAAGTAATAAAAACATGACATACAAATTATATATATTGCACCTTACCCTGAAAACATTGATTAAATCGGTGTTTTCAGGGTAGGGTGCAATAAATCTACATTGTATGTCACGTTTTGATACTTTTTTTTTGCATTAATAAATATTTTAAGTTAGTTGCAGTTCAGATCCCTTAGTAACTTCTGCAGACTGATCCTTCCATAGGTACAGTCATTTATTTCTCTGACTGGCTGCCATACTGACCCAATAGCTTCAGTACTGTTACTTTAGTTTAGGCCTATGTCTAGGGTTTTAAGGAATGTGTTATGTGACCTCTTATTCGCTTATTTTTCAAATGAACAGCTTAATGTACTGTATGAAAACCAAAGCAAAAAAGTTCTCAAAGCAACCAGACTGCTATTGGCTAAAACGTCGCTTTGTTCCAGTCTTCATAAAACATCCCAACCTTTGTAACAGTTGTCATAAACTGCCCTCACATTGTACAAAACCATGTTTAATTACCCAAAGCACCAAAACATATATGAGAGGAACAATACTGCCAGGAACAGTTTTACTTTCAGAGTTTATTTTTCTTTATGCATATCAGGCATAACAATGTGCTTCTGGAACGTACAAGCAGTATAATAATGTCATTACCTTGTACTGTAATACTCTCGGACACAAACTGACTGACAGGGTATGAAAGGGTTTCACTGCATGCATATACTCAGTGTGGATTTTTCAATTACACAAAGCATAATACTGAATGAAGCTCCACATTGAGTAACTGTCAATCTCAAACCTTGCATAACAAAGAAGACATATTGCACATACATTTATAGTTTATTGTCGTGTTTTCAAATGCCACCAATATGCTGAGCACATAGAACAACACAAATACAAGGTACTGACACAGCGCATTGTTTTTTCTCATTTCACATTCTTTCCCAACTTTTTTTTTAACAGATAATAGCATTAAAAAAAAATCCCGTGTTGGCAAATTATTGCAATTCATGACCATCATCAGCCACAGGAAAACTGAAAGCACAGCACACCCCGCTGTGACAAGAGGAGGTAATGAAACCGAGCAATGAAGAAAAATGAAATCACTTCCATTGTGTTGCAAAGTAGTATGGCAAGGGCAGAAGGACGGCAAACAGACAACTGCAGCAAGTGAGGAAAGTTAAAACCCCTCATAATAGAGATCAATTGCACAAGCAGTCAAATAGAAATGAATATAGGATTAGATTACACCATGCCAGGTTATCATTAGAACTACTCAACTGCCATTGTCATTACAAGGGGGACCAGCTCTTCCCATTGGATTATGAACATTACACTGTAGAGCAGGAGTGGGGAACGTCCGGTCTGCGGGCCATTTAAGGCCTCCCCACCGTTCGCTAGTGTGACGCTGTAGACTGGAAGGGGTGATCCGCCACTCCACGCCTGCATTAGCTTCGTTAGTTGTAAGCTCAGCATCACCCCCTGGTTATCTCTGCTGTGCCTGTGAACGCTGCGTGCGGCTGTATCAGTGTGGCTGGCTGTATCTGCTTGACACCTCACATTATCTATGGGTTTGTAAGAAAGTTTTAACAGATTGTTCTCTCGCTCTCAGCACACTGGCAGTGCAACACTGGTCCTAAGCTGCAGCTAGTGGGTAAGGTTGTGTATGTGTGTGTATCCTGGGGGGGTTATTGCTGGGGAAGGGGGGGTGTATGTGTATCCTGGGGGAGTATTGCTGGAGTGTCCTGGACAACCTGGAACAGCAATTGCGACTAGCAACATCATCAATACAAGCTAACATCACACGCTTCACCAAAGAGAAGTAGTTCTAGCCATCACATTTGGGGTGAGTTAATTATATGTTTGACCAAATATGGCAGGCTCATTTTTTTAATCGATAATTGTTTATGGTCCACGAATGATGTTATAACTATCCAAATGGCCCTTGGCAGAAAAAAGATTCCCCACCCCTGTTGTATAGAATGCAGCTGGCCGAGTGATACATCTGCTGAACAACTGAGATACCATGCAACAATATCATGGAAAACGGGGGAGTAACTAAGGATCTCTGGGATAGTGTGGGTGTGTATGTGTGTGTCAATCTGAGAAGTACAGTAAGGCAGATATACCATAGGCCCAAGATTTTGTTTTTCAATCAAACTATCAGTTTAGGGTGGACCAGTTATTTAGTAAATGCACAAAGGTCAACATAATTCATTGCTAAGGCTATGTGGCAAAACATAACTGGTTGCCATTAGTAATCAGACTGGGGACATCAACATTATTGATTGCATAACATGAGGGGTAGAACTAATTGATGATGCTCCTGGTTCTAAATACCAAACTTAATTCTTTAAAATCAGTGTTCAGTGAAGTTGATGGATATCAAATTCAGTCATTTCTTGGCAACCACTAGTCATACCTTATTAATACCATTGGATGTCAAGAAACCATTCTGAGAATTGAGTAGTGGCCTGAGGACAGGTACCCCTTCCGTCTTAAACCTCAATAGGTCACAAGTAGATAAGTAGATTCTGTGGAAAAAGTATGCAGCAGAAAAGCTCTTAGCCCACGGCACTCCACCTGAAAGAAGGATATTTGATAGCTTCTTTTCCTGTTCATGAGTTTAGGTTCAGGACAGCTAGGAAATATTTGAATACACACTACCTGTCCAAAAAAAAAGTCACCACTTTGATTTAGCTAAGCGCATAGATCAGAGCCTTCCATTGTATAATAGGTCTAGGTTCAGCAACGTTATTTGGCCAAAAATGAGGTCAGCTGCCTACAAGAATATACTTAATGACAAGGTTTTTCCATAAATAGATTTATTTATTCTCCGATGCCACGGGCATATTCCAAAATGACAATGCTAGGGTTCATAAGGCTCAAATTGTGAAAGGGTGGCATGAGGCATCATTTTCACACATGGATTGGCCAGATCTGAACCTCAGTGGGAATCTTTGGTTTGTGGTGGAGAAGACTTTATGCAGTGG